TTTTCCACTTTATTATTTATGCTTTTTGTGTTATTTGAAGTAGAGAGAGAGAAGATCAGCAGAGCAAATATCTGGGTGAGAAGACCTACCACCCAAGTCCTTAGAAAATGCAAGCCTGCAGAGGGTGAGATTTTCAACACTGGCACATCCTCTTTCTTGCCTCCCAAGGGCAACCCATTAAATGTTGGAAAATATGAATGTAAAAAGGGAAATTATTTTGTAGCCCTCTTTGGGCTTGGAAGTTTCAGTAGAATCAAATTTGGAATCTTCTGTCAAATGGTCCAAAGAAAATTACCCTAGACAAGACTCAGAAAAGAGTGAAGCAAAGGTTTCTATGTAGAAATTCTTCCTAAACTTCAGATTGTAATATGCTAATAAATCCACTAGGACTGCTAGGACCTCATTTGCATAGGCACAGATGCCCGCCCCTCTAGGAAAAAGAAGGTGAGGTCCCCAGTCTTCCCAACATGACGAGGTCCAAGAGAGATGTGGGCTCAGAAAGAGCAGATATGGGGAGATGTCTTTGTGGTTGAAACAAAGAGAAAAAAATGATTAACTTCTGAGGACTGGTAAGGAGACAAAATGCTTTTCAATTATGAGAAATTAGGCAAAAAGAATCAAAGCAGCAGAAAGAAAAGATATCATTTTGTAAAAAATTAACATTTCTTTTTAAGTTTGTGACCAGCAAGAATTCTACTCTTTTCCAAATGGGTTTTCTCCCTTTCCTTTCAGCCCTTGGCACCCCTTTGTCTACTTGATATTCACTCCTGCACAGCTGCATCCAGAGCTTCAATTTCTACTTCACACACCTGAGCACATCACTTTTTCACTCATCCTCAGTTTCCTTTTCTTAAAACAAGTGGGGTGGGTCTCTAAGAGAGTTTTCAGTTCTAAAATTTTATGATTGTTGTATCAGAACTGGTAAACTCAAAAATTTAAAATTATAACAATCTCAGGTTTTTATTATCAGAAAAAAAAAGTATTTTCTAGAACCCATTTAAGAGGATTTTCTGTGTTCTTTTACATACTGTTTTAAGAGTTCTCTAAGGATGGCATAAATTACTTATAGATTAAATTGACTTCTGAATACACAAATAATAAACAAGCAATAATATACTTGCCAGCAAACATTCTGACCTCCACCCAATTCTCTAAGTCGATTTCTTTACCACTATCCAAAAGAAGTTTTTTCTCATATCATGTAATTCTTCCTGACTTCTTTTTCCAAAAAGAGCTCTAATATTTGTGTCTATCTTTTCCATATTTCAAGTTTTTTTTTTCTACAGAGGCATCTGTGCCTATGTAAATGAGGTCCTGGCAGTCTCTGTGGACTTGTTAGCATGGTGCAGTATAAAGTTTAAGAACAGGAAAACCCACATAGGAATCTTTGCTTCACTCTCTTGTGAGTCTCATCCAGGAAAAGTTTCACTGGGCCATTTGATAATGCAATAGAAGAGTCCAAATTTGATTCTGCAGAAAACTTCTAAGTCCCAACTGGGATACAATATGGTTTCCTTTCTCATATTCATATTTTTGAGGATTTAATGGGATGCCACTTGGGAGTCAAGAAAGGATGTGCCAGTGTCAAAAATCTCACCCCCTGCATGTTTGCATTTTCTGATAAGGCCCTGCAGGTATGTGCATTGCAGAACACCTTCAGCAGTGAGATCTCTTATTTTACTTTAGCCCACCTACTTGGTTCAAATCTCACATACTAAGCAACTTCTAAAACATGATATTATTTATTAGTTGCATGGACACACCAAAAAGAGTTTGAACCAATAATAAGGCTATTCTAAGGTGAGTTCCGGTCCTCCCCCACAGGATGGATGTGGCTTTTCACAGGTGAATTATTATATGGTTTTCCTAGGACACAGAATTTTGGCAGAAGAGGCTGATAACATTGTTGTGTTAGGACAGATGTAACACCAACCACGTTTATTACGATTTCACTAACTTTTGTCTATCAAAGGGCAGAACTAGCTTTTCATTGGTTCCTCTTTCTCAAGGTTGATCTTTTTCGAAGTATGGGAGAGGGGGCTTATTTTATTTTAAGACCTAGTCAGAGAATGTGAGATCCAACTATTTTTGGCTCAGTTTCTTCATCTAAATTAGATCAAATGATTTTAAAGAATTAGAAGATTCCCTTAGCTGAGCGGTGGTCATTGAAATGCTGTTATATTTTGATTCATGATTTTAATTCAAAATTTATCACTATAAATAACTGAATAGTAGAATGAATTTGCTTTGTTTTTTTCCTTTTCATAAGGTTAACAAACATAGATAGAATAAGTTGCCTATGTAATAAAAAATTTGCAATTACTTTTATAAAAGATCCCAATTCCAAGCTTAAGTAATTACAAACAAAACTGTAAGAAATAGCTACTAAACTAGAATATAAAAATACAAAGAGTGTGAAAGTGGGAGAATGAGAGAAATTTCCATTAGAATTAAGGTAACAGTAGCTGTCCACCTCCTTTCTTGACTGTTTACTTTCTTCGAACATCCAACTGTCAGAATCTGGTGGAATGAGTGATTCATGAATCTTGTCATGGGCCAGGTGCCTGTCATCTCTGCCAGTGTCCTCAGTGTCCTCTTTAAATTAGAAGATTTTCTTATGCCTTAAAACAAAGGGATGTGAATGACGATAGTGCTATCCCTGACTAGCACCTCTTTTCTCCATAGTGTTGAATCTGTCCTGAGACCTAAAAAGTGGTTATTGCTGTGTGAAACTCCTGGGACACCTTCTGTGCACACACACCCATAGCTACAAACTTTCTGCACTCGTTGTTGCTTCCCCAGATGCCCCACACTCTGTTGTTTTTGCTGCCTCTCCATCTAGTTTCACCTTTCTCCAGGTAGAGTATAAGTATTTTCATTTACACAAATGCAGTGAGACATTTTCTCTGCCTGGACCAAAGTGTACATGCAAATGAGACTATAAGATAAGCACTAGCCTTTCCAGAAGTCACTGATGTTATACTGGATTTTATACGATTATAAAACTCTCGGGACTGTCCGGTTAGCTCAGTTGGTTAGAGCACAGCCTTGAAACACCGAGGTCATGGGTTCAGATCCTCATACTGGCCAGCAGCCAAAAAAATAAAAATAAAAATAAAGCCCTTGAACCGAAGCCTGTGCTGCATGGGCTAAGCCTGGCTGGGCTGTGCACACCTGAGATAATGCAGCACGATTAAACTTATGCCCGATGAGCGGAAGATGAAGGGGAAGGGAAGAGAGCGTTTTGCTTAGTTACTACTACAAGAGAAAACCCAGACTCAATCACAGACTTCTTTTCAGAATTGAATTGCATTCACTGGCGTCAACAGGAGGTGTCGGGAGGGGGAAAGACAAGAATAGAAAAGGAAGAGAAAAAGTTGAAAAAGACTCAAATTTAAATAGAGAGGGGATGGGTCAAAATATGAAGGAGAAGTAGAGACGCAGAGACACAGGGAGAGAGACTCGGGGAGGACAAAGAACGGCAGTGAAAATTTTGAGTGGCTTTGGAACTACTCACGTAACTTCAAGAAGCGACAGTTTCTAAAACTGGTATGTTTTATGTTTTCATGCTTTATTTTTATGCTAAAATAAATGTGTTCAGCAGACAGGATAGAAACAATATGGCAGCTTTATTTATGTCACTGTGTCGGTGAATAGCAGGGGCTGTTGAAAAGCACTTAAAAATATTGGCGGTTTTATGATAACCAAGTATTTATTTTGCCTCTCCATGCCTTTCATGTTTATGTTACTCTTCCCCTTCCCTGTATTTTCTTCTTTATCAAACCCACCCAACGCATTCAGGCATATTATTTACTTCCTGAAAAACGAAAGATGTTTGTTCCATGAACAATGGGAAAATAACGTGTCTACATGTGTCCTCTGTGACTAAGAAATCATTCTAGAATGCAGTCTTCCCATGCCCGGCACCCACTCACCCAGCCCAGCTCTATAAAGGGAAACTGCCACCTGCCCACCCACCCCAGGGCCTCCTCAGCTGGCAGGACCTGCAGCAGACATGAAGCAGCGATCCCTCTCTCATTTTGCCAGCCTTCTCCTTGTGGCCCAGCTGTTTCCAGGTAAAATAGATGTGGCCTGGGGCTGGGTGTGAGGATCTATTCACAACAATCATTTTGGGTATGAAAGTCCAGGCTGGGCAATGAAAGACTGGAGCACATTTTCTTGATGGGGCTTTTGGGCAGGAGTCTCTGAGCTGGGATTATAAATGACACTTTGAATATGCTGATGGCTCTGGCTTCCCAGGTGAGAGGGTCCCTCCCCTGGCTCCATTTGCTTATCCTTTTAAACTTCCCTATTAAGTTTTAGGGAATCTCAGCAACTACAGTGGTGACCTCTGAGTTGAAGGCTCACCTTGTCTTTGATGAGTTACTCAGATGCAATGCTCTGCACATGCTTTTCACACATTGGTGACCTTCTCTCTCTCCACACACACGCATGTGCACACACGAGTAATACTTGCACCCCTTTCAACTCAACCCATCCCATCACCCACTTTCACTCACCCTTTCGAGTGTACCTACTTCATGCTCATGCATCTGCTGAATGGAGAGTTCTGAAAATCCTCTGCTGTGTATCTGCACTTCAACAGGAATGTCCAGAGCCCCATTTGTAAACCACTCAGGCACTGAGGC